TTCAATTTAAAGCTCAAAGAAAATTTTCTCTTTTATTATAGTTATTTTTTTTAATTTTTCTCATTTTCTTTTGATAAAGTCTGAGAAATAAATGAATCGTAGATAGATTTTTTAAGATAAAAAATTATGTGTAATTATTCTACTTGATTATATTGTTATTGTATTTATATTATTATGCATACAACCCGGTCGAAATTATACTGTTTTTTTATCTAAATATTACAGATAATAAGGCCATATAGATAAATAATTTGCTTATATTTCTAATAATTTCAACTAAATAATTCTAATGATTTGCTTAAATTCTAATAATTTGCTTAATAATTTCAACCAAACATGCCGTACCTAATTATATTTTAGTTATTTTGATAAAAATAAAGTAAATAACTCTTTTTTTTTTCATTATATATTTGTAAGAAAAATCTATTTATAAAGATGTTTAAAAATATTCATAAAAATATTTAAAATATATTCATAAAAATATTTTTAAAAAATTTTTAATATTTTTTTTAAATATTTAAGAATATTATAATCACGCGTAACTGTTATATACTGTAAAAACTTCCGAATAAAATTTCAGTAAAAAGTACAGCTGGCACTCAGGGTTCCGTAAAATCCCTTTTTACGAAAACAAGTTAAAGAACAAAAAAAAATTATATACCATAAATTTTACAGTAATAATTTCAGTAAAATCGCTCTAATTAAATAAATATTACTGTAAAAATTCTGATATAATATGGTGCAGTCTAAGTGCCGGTATTTTATACGGTTATTTGATCCAGAAATTTTGCCAGTGCATATAAATAGCTTTCAAAAATTTTAAAACAATTATATAGATTTCAAAACAAAATATCCAAAGGGTTATTTAATCGCAGTTTACCTCCAAAAAAATGTCAAGGAATTCACATAAGTGTTCTTAAAATTCCCAGACATCAACGAAATATCAAATACAATATCATAACTCAGCCGAGCCAGTTCATCGGGGTTGCCACGGCAAATTTACCAGGATAAGTTAAATTATTTATTTGCAGATTATCTTTAGCCTGGATAATTAATGAAATTTCAGGAATTACAATTAACTTGCTCTTCTTGAAATTTCGAGACACCAACACAATATAAAATAATGGCTGGAGCAAGTCCTAAACCATTTTCTATACACATTATTTGTTTACATTAGATATTTATAGTTTATGTAAACTTGCATACTGTAGTTATATTAACATTTATTGTTTAGTTTGGAGTCTTAGTACAGTAAAAGCATTTTGAAGCTGAAAGCATTTTTGCCACTGTTACTACTTGCTTTTGTCTATTTTCAATTATTTTCTAGTTTGTAAGTCAATATGGCAATATTACTCGCTATGTTCTTACTGTCAATTGTTTTTCTGTTTAATTTTATACTTTTTAAAACTTCATTTTGAACTATGAACATTATTATGAACTGTTAATAATGTGACACCTACAGAAAACCGTTTAATGGTTGCTTAAAATTCGGCAAATACAAATTAAATGAAGACATCAAACAATCTTAGAACTTTGCCGAGAATACTTAGAAAACAGATATCTCTCTCAAATTAGTTGCGCTTATTTACACCCATGCTAACGCCAATCGTAGAGTTAACACATCGCCAAGCCGTTTACTTTTGTGGACGCAAAACTGTCACTAACAGTGACATCTTGTTAGACTTTAAACCGAACAAAATGTCGTTGATTTCTCGACCCCCTCTTTCGTTTCCTTTAAAGGTCTCCGTTATAAAATCAATATAGTCTCTACGCTAATCAACGCGGAGCCCAAGAATTGAATTCTAAGTCCCCATGGGTGCAAAGTCTTTGTCTAATTTCTAGAACGGTTCGTCGTCTATCCCTCGAGTAATCAGACCTTGCGAGCTTTTCCGGTTCATAGTTATTAGTTAGAGCTTAATGAAATGATCGATCCGGAGTTCCGGTTCTGTATGTTCACTGGTCAGGATAAACTACCATCCACTCCCAAGTCTTTGATAAACTAAAAGTTAGCTCACGTAAGGGTAAGAAGGCGCTGTCTTGTTATAAATTTTGAAGAATTTTAATTGTGTTCCAGCAGCCGTTGCCACTCTGTAATATCACGTCCAGGTACTTTTTTAGTTATTAAAAGAGGAAATATCAGTTTAATAGTTGAATTACGCTTATCAATGTCATACAAATTGATATCTTAATTTCATTTATAATATCTTTTTTAACTACGACCAAGTTTCTGAATGCATTCGCTTATAAAGTTAAATGAATTACTCCTATATACTCTGCCCAAGTTTTTAAAGAATTAAAAGTTAGCTCACATAATAAGATACTGTCTTATATTTAATTATGAAGAGTTTTATTTGTGTTTCGCGGTCGTCTGTACTTATAATACTATCATGTCCCTTACTTTTTAGTTATTAAAAGAGGAAAGAACAATTTAATTATTTAAATAGTTGTTTTGTACTAACGCATTATAATTCTAATTTGATTCTTATTTTAATTTCATTAACCAAAATTTTTGATAATGATCAAGTTTCTGAAAGCAGTAACTAGTGAAATAGTTAACTGAAACTACTTTTATTCATCTACTCCGAGTCATTAATGTCCCGCAATGATCGTTAAGACGCGGCTTCCAGTAGAACACCGAAGTCAAGGATCACTGACTGTGACCAACGTAGAAACCGAGGGTACGGGGTATCGATCCTCGTTAAACTGTTCTACCGTGAAGAGCTCGATTTAGCACGCAAGTCGTCTGGCTACCAAAATCAGAGGAGCCATGCCCTCTGCAGATGATCAAAATTGTGATGTCTTAAAATCATCCTTAGGGATGTTTCCCAGACCATCGCTAACAGCATATTATGCATCTCTAGTGCGAGTTAAATAAAAGTACCTATCTACCGAGTCATTAATAAGCAACAAGTTAGATTACATAAGTGTAAAAACAATATATTGTTTTATATTTCTCCAGTACCTTTTAGTATACCTTTGTTAAGAAAAAGTAGGGCAAGTTAATGATTTGAACATATGAATTACTTTAACATACAATATTCTAAACTAATCCTTATCTTAATTTCACTAAAAGTATTTTTTTTTACTTATGATCAACTTTCTGAATGCAATTATTATTGGAATCTAACATATGAGACAACTCTTATGCACACTTCAAGTCAAAGAAGAAGGTTCTGTCTTGTTTTCAATGGAAATATTAAATTACGATTATGAACTCCTCATATTTGTTATAAAAATAAACCTTTAATTTTGAATTTTACTTTAAAAAAATTACTACTGATGAAAATTATTTGTGTTTACTAATAAATTTCAATAGAATCAGAAGGAAAATAGATTCATATGATATTTTTCATACTATTAACCAATCAAATATGATTCAAAACAAATATTTACATGAAAGAAATTAATGTTAAACATAAGAAAGGGGGCATAAGAGATTAGAAATCTTTATATAATACATGTATTTTAATTGAGTAATTTCATATTACATAGAAAACAATGTTTTTTAATAAGAAACAACAATTATAGCCTGACAATCATGGGGGTTGGTGAGCGGTAGCGAACAAGGGACTTAGCCTCTGAATATTATATACTGAAGTCATCGTTCTATTCCGATTTGTTTAAAACATTAGTCAAGTTATCTCCCCTACCCCTTGTAGTTAATTAATTAAAATGAACGAATAATTTCATTAAAAGACTCTTTAAAAAATTTGAGATTAATTTTCCATATTAACGAAATAATATAACATTAGTTGATTGTTATAAACCCCTTGCTTTAAAATTGTATCTAATTAAGAATTTTGAAAATGACCTTTCATTACAAAATAATGAATATTTCAGAAACAGGTAGAAAAATCGCTCTAAAAAATTAAAACACTGTTAAGTTAGCCTTAAAAAACGTATTGATTTTTAACGTATTGATTAAAAAACGATAAAAAGAAATAAGAAAAACTGTAGAAATGAATTATATTTTTTTATTCTAAAATATCAGAAAACTAGCCATAAGGTATCGCTGTACATTTATTTTAATTTCACTTTCTGGGACAAAATGTTGCGAATTTCGCAATATTGAATAGCACTTTTCTTCTAACAGAAAAAAATGTCGTAAAATTTCAACTTGTAATACTTTGAGGGCACTTCATTTTAAAATTATAAATAGTTTTCAAAATTATTTTTTACAGGTTATATGTATGAAATACAACTGATACATTTATACAATGTAATTTTGATTTTAAAGAAATGAATAAAAAAAACTTCTTTAAGTTTAAAAATTATTTCAAAAAACAGAACCTTTACTTTTAATTTTACTTTGCTGAAAACCATATCCTTTTACAATATATCAATTAATTAATTACCATATAAATTAATAAAAAAGTCCATATATTTTGCAAAATAAATAAAAGGCGTAAGCGCTTGTAGATTCCTAGTAAGCTTATTTCTGCTGACAAAGGGGAAGGTAATGCTTAAGTAAGACATGAAAATCTTAACAAATAACTTTCAAAAATGCACTGAGAAAAATGTCTCATTTTGATAAAATAAAATAAAAATTAAGTTTAAAGAAAGAAAAAGTTGGACAAAAAATTTTCTAACAGTTTCAGAGGTACCACTGAAAAAAAATGAAAAGATTTGTAAGGAATTTTCCACTTGTGGAAAGTGAATTATATTTTTGAAAATTTTTATCTCATATTCGAATTTGATCCCAAAATTAGAGACTTCTGTTTAAAAAAATTAAATCAAGGGTCGTTTGCGACTTTCTTACGTAAGCATGGGATAAGATTTGTGGCTTGTATATTTTTGCTGACAAAGAGGGAGGAGGAGCCCAAAATTACAACAACAAAAAAACGTGCTTTTGTAATATTTGAATGACCCTCAATAAAAAATTGTGTTATTCGAATACATTTTTTTGTCCTTTCTAAAAGCAAAGCAATAGAAGAAAAAAATTTTATTTTCTCAGGGTTTTTTATTTCTGTTATTTTGATTTCTGCGCTTATTATTTCCAGATGAGGATTATGGGTCTGAGAAAAAAACGAAACAGTCGGATTCGGCGTCGTCCGGGGACTCGGACTTTAAAGCCGAGATCCGGACTGCTTCTTCCCTCTCCAACAATGAGCATGACAGGAGCTGGGAGGAAAATAGTGACCGGGCAGCTCAAGACAACATTTTCAAATACAATCCCAGCGACTACACGGAGAGTAACTTTCCACCCAAACCGGTAAGACATTCAAACTCAAGTCCCACGGCTATCTCTTCTGCCTGAGGACTCTATCTATCTCTGTCTCTATCTATCTCTATCTCTTCTGTCTCGCACCATTTTATACCTGGGAATCGGGGAGAAATTCCTCAACATAAGTTTAATGACCCAAATTGCAGTTAATTGTTTACCAAACACCTCGCAACTTTCCTCGTCCAATAAGTTAAAACGTCGTTCGCGTAATTAAGGTTTTAGAAGATAGATTGAAACAACGTGCTTACAACTAGTAATTTTCCACCCATTAAAGTTTAGTTTTCATATTTAAACTAAACGTTGTAGTCGTCGTATTTATCGAGCTATTGTATTTCTTGAAAATAACCAAGTGAATATTAAAATTTCATTTCCTGAGACCCATGAATCAAAATGCTTTTATTCGATAAAGAGAATGGAGAAAGGCCCAATCACCATTTAAATTCAATTAAATATCAGTTTCGTTAAAAGCATAAAAATGCTCACTATATGGCAAACCATTAAAACGCTGAGCTCATTTATACTTATTTTTAAAAATGAACCATTTTTATATTAAAAGGGGAAACCACCCAATTGCCATTTCAGATTATAAAAGTTTACTCCAATTGAAACTGAGTACTAACTAGATGAAGAACTATCAAAACGTCATTGAAATTCATTTAATTGTCACGTGAAAAGCATGAAAATAACGTTTGCAAGAGCTACTCAATCGACTTTTCAATTCATTTAAAGATCATTTGAATTGAAAACTATTTGTGTTAGAAAACTTACCATCCACCTTTTCAAATGAATTAAAAATCACTTCTTATAAACACACGGCAATTCTCATTGCGTCATACATAAAAAGCTACTTGAATATTGACTCCGTACAAACAAATATAATAAAGAACAATTGTTTTATCTTGAACGATTAAGTTACATTTTGTGAAATGGCAACACTCCGTATTGATTTCGAAAACTAAAATCAACGTCAATGGAAGTTCTATTCACGAGCAATGTACGGTTTGTCACTTATCAATCAATTAAAAGTAAACGTAAAGCAACTTTAGAAAAGACTTCATTCAATTAACGACATTATTTCTATTTAACTATTTCTCTGACACCACAGTGATCTTGCTGTTGAAGAAGCAGAGATGAAATGAATTAGGAATTTGTAAATGGATTTAGTCTTTGAAGTGATTTAAGTTTGTTCAACAAATCGTTGTTGACGTTTCATTTAATAAAAGCTGTGAAATAGTTAATATTTTATAGCGAATATAGTTTGAGTATGAAATTTGAAACTTTTACAGTGCAACATCTCTTAAAAAAAAGAAAGAAAAATGTTAAGCATTTTATATTTAAAACGTTTGTCTTGCACTCGATTTTGAATTGAGTTTTTAATCATAAATACCAGTGTTTTACATAAATTTTAAATAAAAGTGTTGTTTAACGTTGTTCAAAAACTTCTGCAATCGTGCACAGAAACAATACTTAAATATGTTACGGAAACAAATCAAGAACGAACTTTGCAATTGTTACATAAAAATTTATCTTTAGTGCATTACTTTTCATACTTAATGAGATAGTCTCCTGCAAACGATATTAAGTAATCTGAAATTGTCTTAGAACTGTAGTGCCGCCATCTAGAGGATTATAAATGATATATTTTTTCTTTCAAAAAATTACCTATTAGTTTTTAAAAAATTTGCATTTTTGCGTTTCAATCAATTCCTATCTAGCCATATAATGTAAAACATTTTATAGTATTTAATCAAAATATATATATTCTTAAAAAACTAGTTCGTTCAAAATAATTTTAATACCTAACAAGTATCAAAATATTTACGTATTATAATACATTATGAGTTTCAAACAAAGTTATTCTGATTTATTTTACTTTTGTGTGAAGTGTACCCCGAAAATTTTGCATTTGTATTTCCCTCAGATCAAAATACACCTAATTTCTTTTGCATTATAATTATTTCTTCTTAAAAGAATTGCATTTTGCTTGTTACAAAAATCACGCTTGTATGCATGATCACTGCACTAATGCACATAATCATTCCTCATATTTTGATTTGGTTCAACTGTTCTTAATTTCATAGTATTTAATTTAAAAAGAGTAATTGTTATGTAAATACTCTGAATAGAGGTTTAATTCATATAATGATAGAGGATTGGATGGAGGATTAATTCATATGTTCCAGTGATAGAGATTTAATTTTTTATGCTTCCGAACCCACAACTTCCATAATGCTACAATAAATCCTCAATTGTAGATTAAATATAGGTCAGAGTCAATCGGCACCGCGCTATAGAAAGAAAAATTTTAGAGTTTCTTTCTGTATCACAAATGCGAATTAAGTTCACTCAAAAAAGTTTTTATGAAATACTTAACTCAAAAGTTTCCTTGTCTTTTAGATTTAATATTAAATGGATACCAGAGTGCTCCATTCATATTGATCTGTCGATGATGTAAAAAAAGCGAATATAAGTTAATAACCATTTAATTACAAAAACCCATTTTAAAAAAGATGTGGTCGCTTAAAGATCTGCCCATGACCTTATAGTAAGACACGGTTCTCGGTAGATCATCTAGGTCAAACATCACTGCTAGCGGTCAGTAAGCGGGCGAGTGACTGCTTTGATCAGCCTGCGAAGGGACCAAGGGTGAGTGTTATCGGTCATCGTTAAAATGATCTATCGTTAAGTTCTCGACTTCGCACCCATGTACTCGGGTTACCAAAGCGGTGAAGATATGTCCTCTGCGGTGGATCACAATTGTGAGGGCATTTCTTCTAATCATCCTCAAGGACGATTCCCTGCCTATCGCCAATAGCCCATTGTGCAGCTCTATTGCGCCGTAAATAGAGTAATACTTCAACTATAATTCATAGAAATTTTGCAAATAATGAATGTTTTGGAGTTAAAACATATCTTGCAAGATTAAACTTTTAGTTTGACGCTCTATATAAATATTAATTTTATCGTAACCCTAGCAAGTATTTCAAAAAATTTTATGTTATTTATAATCCAAATTTAGTACCAAATCTTAACGCAGGATTTACATCCATTAATCCTAATCCGGTATGTTTCTGACTGACCCATGTGGAAAGAAATTTGTGTTATGTATAAAAGGAAATACGAAAACAATCAGATTGCTGATTATGATTAAAAAGATTTATCACGACTCTATCTGAAATAAAATTCTAAAGATAGATATACTTACAATTCTAAAAAATATGATAGTATTTAAATACATAAATTCTCATTTTTAAATGGAAATATAACAACAACAGAAATGTAGTTATACTAAAAAAATTTCAATTGTCATTTGTTGCATGTCACATATATTTTTTAACGAGACATATCATGCTATGAATAGTGTACAGGTTTTTGTTCATCAAATATTAAATATCAAGCGTTTTACTTGTTTGAATACTAAAACATGTTTCGTTTCATCTGCATTTCCAACCCAGCAGAAAAACATTCAAAATTATACACCCTTCAGCCTAGAAGTTGACGGTGTGTCCTTCTCCTCAATAGGCATGAGTGAGGTGAGGCAGACTCTCCAACCCTATGAACCAACCTCCGGATTAACCAACAACCGTCCTCACTTCTACTTCAACTACCAACACAACAATCAACTCGATTCTCGGGGATACCCGAAAGCCTCTTCTCCTTCTCAGCCTTCTTCTTCGCATACCCTTCAACCTTCCTACATTCTAAACAACAAGCCTAATCTTGAATGTTCTGGAGAATCACCATCACGAACTCCAGACCTCACAGAATGTGTTTGGGGTCTGTTTCTCCTCTTTCTGACAATGCACGTTCTTGCATGTTTCAGCATGTCATTTCTTGATTTTGAATTAGTTTAATCATCAGCCATTATCTATTTATACTAAGTCATTTCTTAGAACCTGCATTTCAATTTTCTCTTAATATAGTACCCAAGTATCATTTCACAAATAAAAAGCTGGTATCAAAAATATTTATGATATACAAGATAATTATGCCTGCTTGGACACTTAAAATGTTAAAAAATATAGTTGTAGTCTAGAATTCGTTTTTGGATGTTTCATACTGATTATATAATTGTAATAATATAAATTGTTTAAATAATAAAATGTAGTCTAGGACTAAATTAACCCTCAAATAAAGTAAATGTTTAGAATCGGCTTTCAAGGTATTAGACCATAAATTAAAGTTACAAATTTGGCAATTAAATTTATGGGCCAATCAGCGACTTTCCGAGCAATGTGCCAGAAAAATGATGAATGATTATAGCACCATTCGATCAGCTTAATTCCCAGAGAGAGAGAGAAAAAAAGAAAAACTTTGGTGAAATATAAGAAATATTTAAATGTTGGCAAAAAAAATTTATAATAATAATCTGTTTGATACCTTTAGTTAAAATGAAGACAAAAATGTTTCGTTTGATATTAATAAACGTATCCATACTGTAAGTGCTTGCTTTTAATTTTAAAAAAATTATTGAACTTAGTTATGAAAATGGCTACTAGGAATTAAAATCTTAAAACAATTGCACTTGCTTGTTTGTTCTTTTAATAGCATGAACTTTCCCACATTGTCTGTACTTTCTTTTAACAACCTTCTGCTCTAAACTCATATTTTTTTAACCTATGTTTAACTGGGATAGATATGATAGTATTCACATTAAAATTTACAAAATTTATTCGATGTTTTGCCCCACATTTACAATGAAAATGAGACTATTTATTGTTGCATAAATTATAAGTTGGAACTTGTTTTAGAATTTTAGAAGAACAGATTATATGCCGAAAATTAGTAGATTAAATAATAGAAAAAAAACCTACATTAAGCGAAAATCGATTTTTTTACACTTTAGAGCAAAATGTTTCGATGTATGTTAATCTAATTTGCTTGATAATTTTGCTGAATACGATTTTTGCAATCTTCTCGTTACATTTCCATTTCTATTCATCACGCTTCTATTTCCATTCAAAGCCTTTAAGTACATTGCATGAAACTTTCATTTGGCATAGAATTTTTATCAACAGCTCTTTTCGTTATATAGTGTTGTATGTCCAATGGCCATTTCTAGTATATTCTATCACTAAATTATTACATCTTTATTAATTCTGTTTCATCATTTCAGGAAAGCCAAGTTAACAATGGCTACATCCCATACGTTGACTACACTCGTGATTACACCCCTCCAGCCGTCCCACCACCAGGTGGCGTCCGAGACAGTGTCTATGGCAGTCCACCCCAATCACTGAGCGACCTCACACATACAGTCGATCCCCGATACAGAGCAGGTTATGCAAATCCATACCTGAGGACTTCAGTCTCTAATCTACCGCCACCGCCACCACAGGGCGGAGTCTTCATGACATCAACTTGGGGCGGACATCCGAGCAGCCCTTCATCGCCAGCAGCTGCTGGACAACAGCCAAGCTCACAGGCTCAAAACCGATACATCACTGCCCAACAAGCTCAGACACAACTGAAGCCAGGCACATTAGCCACGCATGTCTGACGCTAGGCTTGGCAGAGGAAACCTGCAAAATAAAAGCAAAGTCCACGCTCTTGTCGACTTGGGGATGAATTTGGCAACTTTTCGATTCATATCTATGTTTGATTGTTGTCTCAGTGATTTACAAAAAGGGACGATTAAGTTTGGTGGAGAATTCACTCGACCTATGTCACACCACTTTGCTGATTACGTTTCGTGCTCAGCGGGCTTCCAGTCACAGCCACCCAACGGAGCAAACGAAACTGAGTTGACATCTTACCTTTTCAGTGGTGTTATGGATCCTTAAGACACTAACAATCATCATCAAAAGGATCTTCGTCCCCTAAAAAAATAAAGAAAAATTCTGTTTTTCTTTTATTCTTCTTGCATGTTTCAAAACTGAGGAGCTTGCCACGTCCGGATAAACATAACTGCCTTGTGTATATCAAAATGAAAGTTCTGTGTAAATACCCTCTAAAGACTGAAAGATACTCGGATGCGTTGGAAAGCTGTTATGTATTTAACTATAAAATTACTTTTATGATTGTTGATATTTATATGAGATTACCGTGAACTGTTACGGAGATTCCTATATTGACTCTAAAGGCTGATACAGACCTACCCTTTGTTTTATTTCTAAACAATCACTACAAAGTCAACCGTGCTTTATTTGGTGTTGATTCACACAATAAAGTATCAGTGGTGGTCGTTAACATTGACTCAAAACAAAATACCACCCATATGAAAATCTGGAGAAAACTTTTTCGAATTCCAGTGTATTTGTGCCACTACATGAAGAACTTTTACGTTTCCTCCCGCCAATATTTGTTTCGCATTGTGCAGATCATTATTTGAGGTTATGGAAGACTTGAATATCAAATAAAAATAGGTGTATAAAAATTATTAAATCTAAATTGAAAGGTGCTTCTTACCGTTCACTGCTGCCTGACGTAGAAAAAAAATTCCTCTCCCGACTTTGCATGATCTTTTTACTGACCCCTCTTTCATCGTATCTTTCATCATTTGGACTACAGAAATATGTTCCCGGATTAAGTGGATTCAAATTTAAATACTTTTGTATTTGTGTCTTTTATCTTTAAAACTCAAATTTTGAACAGACTTTTAACTTTTAAATAAAATTATGAGGCAGGTATAATGCCATGCCACTTTTTGCCTCTAAATCTCAGTATTGAAGTTTTATTTTTTTCCAAAGATCGAATGCGCCATTTTCACAACCTTTTTTGAGGCCTTGATTCTCATCAAATTACCGTTTACCTACTTCTGCTCACAATTTTTTGGCTGTGATTGTATTTGTGAGAACATTTCGACATTTTCAGGAGCTGCTATTTTCTTCTGATTCAGATTTCTTTTTTTTTATTGATTGTCATGTTTTTGTAAATTAATGTGAAGAAATGCTTGTTTTTGTTTTACACTATCTAGTGCATCTTTATTGTGTATTTATTTATGTTTAGTTTTTGTTATGTTTGTAAAAATACGGTGAAGCAATTTTAATTGTCCTGAAATATGGTAGGTATCGTTCAATTCTCTTTATACAATTATATCATTTATTGCCAGGGAATTGTCGACTTAATTGTCAGAAAATTTAGACGTATGTGATCTATATCATCTTCAAAATGTCGTTAGTTTTATCTTAAAACAAATTATTAATAAAAAATTTCACTTGTGAATGTTTTTAGTACATCAAAATATAAAAAAAATTATAAAAACTTGCCAAAGACACGTTTTATAGTTTCCCCCAGAAATTACTACATTATCATTATCAGACTTAGTCATTTGTAAATATCGTATTCTAAATAAATGTCACCTCTTGTAAAAATTTCATCCATTTTCAAAACATTTTAATATTTTTCTTAGTTTCGATCATTACTTGTACTGTTTTTTCTAGGGGTCTTAAAATGAAACTTTTTTTTATAGAAAATGGCTTTTGAATTTTTTTAAATTTGTTTAACTTGAAAATAAATTTAATGAAATCTATTTACATAAAATTGATTAATAAAAACGATTAAAAATACAATATCACTTTCGTTTCGTTTTATTACAGTCTTAATTCTTAAAATAAAAAAGCATCTTAAATTTTTAAATTTTCATAAACCATTGTAGATTATTTTTTTACTATTAATTTGATTAGAAAAGAAATTCATTCGCCCCTGTGGTATATTTATCATATTATTCAAACAAAACTTTTTAAAACATTTTGTGAGAGTAAGTTGAATTTGATAAATAAAACTATATTATTTTTATAATTGTTTATACGTCAATTTTAGTAATGTATACTAAGTAATTTAGTTTATAATTGCCAATTTTCGTAATTTAGTTAGTTTATAATTGTCAATTTTAGTAATATATACATAATTTATACGAAATGTTTTTCAAAAATGAAGCAAAATTTTATTTTTAACTTAATTTTTGTACATATATTTTCCCTGTAACTAAATAGTTAACTTTCCTTTGTATTTGATCAAAATTCTAATTATCTTTGCGTGCATCTTTTTGCGTTTTGCATTTAGTATTTGTAAAAATAATAAAAATACACTTCAAAAAAAATGGTTTAATCGCATTACGGTGCAAGTTTTTTGTAACATTAATAAGGTATTATATTAAATCACGTTTCCGATCAAATTGAATTATAGTATCATGTAATCATGTTTAAGGAATACGATAATATGATTAAACTTAGAACCATATTAAGGTTTCAGCAAATATGAATGATATCAAGATCGAAAAAAAATCTCTAAACTTCAATCTAATTTTCAAAATGTGGAGCTTTTTAAAACTTATATCATACTCAATCGCACACACATTTCTAAAGACGAGTAAATACGCGTTTCAGGACTCTGCACTTAAAATTGCTTCACCGTATCTTATTTATATCCAAAGATATCTGCCCAGCATAATTCTATAGCTGAATCGATACCGGTTAGTCGGAGATCCCTTTTCGAATCTTCCATAAGACTCATTTGACCAGTGGATATCTCTCTCTGTCCATCATATCCTCTCTTCCTCCTAACATAGATAGTGCCAGATGCCTTGTAAATATGTGTATAAAAGAACGTAAGAGTGTATGAGCCGTTGCTGTTAGTATTTATAACGGTTAAATCAAGACGTAAACTGACAATGCCATCATATATTTTTCACTGTGAATGATGTAAGCAATAAAGTTTCCTGAATTAAATGTTTTTGTTATCAACTTATCTATTTTCATTTATTTTCACCTTTAATCAGCCACACGACTATTTCGAATTACACATAATGTTATGTGAGAGTGTGAAATTCCTCTATTGAATATTTTCACGTAACACCGGACGTTTGAGTTAGCATGTTCTACTGTAGAACAATATCAATACTCTACAGAGCTTGAACAGAACATAGTAATGTAAGTATTCTACTTGAAAGTGCGCTATCTCTCTAATGCAATGTCAACTTTTTACCTTTTCCTCAAAACTTTAAGTTAACTTTTTAATATTTTTACAGATCAACTGCGCACTTTCACATCCTGTATTAAAGCCTAGATTCTAAACATAATATCAGATACCTACTTAAGCTTGCATTTATTTTCCGCTGAGATTGTATCTGGAAAATGAACATTTCGACTATTAATTTAATTTATTAGACATCTATTTAAATTTTCAACGTACTTTTTTTATTTATTTAATCTTTGATCAACCTCAAATTAAAACTGCCTCCCAGAGTCAAATCAAAATTTTGAAATAAATATAGCGCTATTTCTATCAACTTGACTCTTTTCGTTTGTTTTATCTTTTCCTACAACACCATAACTTCAAGTTACATGTACCTAATAAAAAAAAAAGCATGTAGTGACTCCTACTTTAACCCCTTAACTTGTGAGCTCGAGTTAATTCGAGCGCGCTAAACATGCCAAACTGTGCACACTTGAGATAATTCGAGCGGCGTTGTATTTCATGCCGCTATAATTTTTCACACTCGAATATAATTGAAAATAACTATGTGAAAGCTAAGAAAAAAAATCATTTACATAGGATTGTAAGCTATAACACTTATTTATTCAAGAATAAAATATACAGGGATGCCAACTTGCTCCGGACAGCAAATGTATATTTTAAAGTGGTAGTTTATCAATTGTGATTCTTGGTTTAATAAATTCAATTTTGTAGATTTTAATCCACCACTATTTTTAAATAATTCTTAGACTTATATAAATCACCACTTTATAGTACTTATGTCATGCTATACCTTTTAAAAAGCAAGCAAAAATAGTCAAATATTTTCAAAAAATATTTTGAAGTTATTTATCGTTTTTTTTTAATTATTTCGGCTTGTCCGAAGCAGTTGGCATCTCTGAATATAGCCTTTTTCCATAGAACAAAAGCGCAGTATATCAAAATCGTCCGCCAAAAGAAAAGACAATGTTCTAAAGTGTGTTTTTTTACATAAAAAATATTTGATCTTTTTTTTTGGCCGGTTTTTTTCAAAAACTCTGCGCGTTAAGGGGTTAAAATAGTAACATAACTTATTTTTTCCCGAAAATTAAATGCTCATTTTCACATACTTTTTCAAATTTTGAGTCTTGATTTCGGCGTTTTATACGCGTTTATTAATGAACAATTATTAAATACTCACTAAAAAAATTAATTTACAAAAATAAAGACTTCAATATTTATCGATGTTCTGTGTCGTTGTCAATTTAATTTTGGCATTGATAAAAAAAAGTAAACGAAACGCTTGTTTACTACGAACATAAAAATAATGATTTCTAAAACATAAATCGCTAAATTTATGAGAAAGCTCTCCTTTGTTACTTAAAAGTGCACCATATTTGATGAATCTATTCAAATATGGTGCATTTTAAAGTTATTCTTCAGAAAATACCTCTCAAACTAAAAAATTGTTTTATAATTAGGGCTCAATTAACCAGGACATATCTCGGGGGGTTTATCGATCCAATTTTTTCTACATTTATTTGCCTAAGTTAACTGCTCATTTCCTTAATAATGACACAAAACAGTTTTAAGAGTCTAACATTAATTAAAGCTTTTTATCCTGCGGCGGTGGATTTTCTAACATACTTCGGCTTCTGAAGAGATGTTATTCAAAGGTAATGAGATTTTATTCCCATAAATTCTATAATTACCTGTTGCGGTTTGCATTCGAGGGCCAATTGCTGAAAGGAATGTCTTAAAATTGATCCGAATATCAAATTCCACATTAACTGTGACTTAGTTCGATATAACTGCTGTGTTTAAAAGTCTATTTGTTAAAATACTAAAAGAACGAAATATGCGAAGTATCTAAAGCTTATTTCTATTTCAACTAGTGATATGATGCACTAATTAATAAATGCATCACAACAATAGTTTAATTTTAAAAAACACAAAAAATTAGCTAACAAACCTGCAATAGTTAAGTTACGAACGTTAATCAAACCGATCATATCGTTGATGACTTTAATTAAGTTTATTCAAACTTTAGTGCTTTTTTACAGATAAAAAAACTTACGTCCTAAATTAACTATTTTAACTGACTCACTTAAAAAAAAATCTAAGAAATACAGGATTGTTAAATTAGGCATAGTAGTTTAAGACGGGGAAAAATTCGCGGAATAGCTAATCATTGGGAAAGATCGACAGATTTCTGAAAGTTTTATACATTTAAATGTTGTCATTCTACACTAAAATTCCAATTTTATCAAAAATAAAAATAACACTATTTTGCTCTCTAGAATAACATCCCACATGTTAGAGTGATCTCATAATTTTAAAATCAATACTAATTGATCTGAATGGAAAAATTATTAAAAGTGACAAGTTGCAAATGAAATTATCGCCAAGCCGATTTTAAAAATAATGTAACCCTAGAGCAAATCGACCAGATGATTAGAACGTTTTTTGGGAGGTGATCAGAACGTTGTGTATAAAAAGACAGTAATAAAGTTTTGTAGAAAGAATTTGGTGTTTTTCATACATAAAAATGCACATTTATTTATATCTTTGAAAAACAATTTAATATCGAAAGTAATTTAATTATCCGTAATAGTGACCCCAAACTTTACACGCATAAAACAGATCAGAATCATCGAAACTAAACAAGCATGAATTCCAAAAACAATGGAAAATTTTCTCATAAAAAGAATTATTCTACACTGTGCATATTGAAAAGAATCTACTTATGACTGGACCTAAAATACAGATAAGTGCTTCTGGATCATTATTTATTTAATCAAATTTTTTTTACGCTTAAGAAGATTTAGATAACTGTATTGTTATGAAAGTAATTATATTGTCACATAATGTATTTTGAACAGTTGAAAATATTAATTCAGTCATTTTTATTTTATTTTATTTTCAAATGGATATTTTATTTTATAGATTAATGTTACACGAAATTTTAATTAGAAATTTGAAATTTATTTCAATTTCATTTAAATCTATATTATAATGAAATTAAAATAAAACTTTTATTTACGAAACGTTAACGAAACAAATATTTTATTCGTTTTTAGAGACTTTGCTCAGTGACCGAAGTTTCAACTGTNAATTACAAATTTGAAATTTATTTCTTTTACTTCAATTTCATTTAAATCTATATTATAATGAAATTAAAATAAAACGTTTATTTACGAAACGTTAACGAAACAAATATTTAGTTATTCGTTTTTGGAGACTTTGCGCCGTGACCCGAAGTTTCAACTGTTCAAATTCCTGTTTGCAACAGATCAGGCCCTGCTTTATGGTTTGTTTAGTGAGAAAACACATTTGCTTCAGTAAACCCTAAAGCAATTACGGAATCTGTAACAAAATATAATTATCTAGTGACTCGCGATATTCTTCCGGAAGCCGGTGTAACTAACCCATACAAAATACTAAAAGAAGAGCTTATAAAAGTGTTCTGGATTCTTCCCAATAAGAGATTCGACAACTTTTGTCGGGTGAAGAATTAAGTTCTAGAATGTCTTCTGATTTATGACGATCTATGAAAAGCTGTTCTCAATTACTTAACATTCCAAATGAACTTATGCTGGAGTTGTTTCTACAGCAATTGCCGTCATCCGTCCAATCAATGTTAGCAGCGGTTTCAGATATAACCCTCGACAAAGCTATTGAAATTTTGGATATAGTATAGGAAGTTACCCCATCTCCAGTTGAAACTTTTCCTGTTTCGGGTTAGGGAAGACAGAATATTTCGCAAAATTTAGAAAATAAATAAAAAGATCTATAGCCTTTCGTTTCAAACTAGATCATTTTTTCAAAGAGATTGCAATAATCCTCGTAATAGATCTCATTTCAATGCTCGACATCGAAATTCAAAACTTTGCTAGTACCACTGTTGTTATGAGAAAAACGAAACGCTGATACAGTTAGGACATATAAGACCACCTAGTAGCAACCATGCTTCATATTTTCATATGGTACCCAAAAAAGGATAGTTAAAATAGAGACCAGTTGGTGATTGCCACACTTTGAATGCACAAACAGTTAAAGACAAATAACTAATTCCTTGCATCGCTGATTTTAACACAAATTTACATAGCCCTAAGATATTTAATCAAATCGACCTTGCTAAAGCATGTAATCAGATTCCCATAAATCCTAGACACGTTCACTAGTCCTCAATATGCATCGCATTCGACCCATATGAGAGTTTGAGGACGCAATTCTAGAACTAGTTTTCAAAGGGTTATTGATGAAGTCACTCACGGCTTGCTTTTGTGGACGATATTCTTATAGCATCAAAAGATCTATCTGAACACTTCACGCATTTAAAAGCTTTATTTGCTACACTAAATGAATATGGTTTTTTCATGAACTTTTCTCAATGTATTTTCGGCCTATCATCAATCAATATTTTAGGATTCAACCTTTCTGAAAAGGAATTGAAACCAACTTTGATAAAGTTAACTTTCTACTAATACGTAAGAAATTTCCAACATCATCTCCTTGTTTTTTGCTCTTACTTTTACGATAGAAATGTAGTTTTAGAAATAAATTAAATAAATAATATACTTTTCCATATAACTAACGTTAACTTTTTAATTTATTTTAAAAAATTTTGTTCAGAATTCTGCAGGAATATTTTGTGTTTTTCTTCGGTAGTTCAAAGTTTTGGCCTCTAACACTTATTTAAAAAAAATTTCTTTTAGACTTTTTCTTTCCCCAAATTTTATCTTTAATTACAAATATGAAACTCTCCAAGTTAATATTTTTCCAATTTTTTTTCTTCTCTTTTTTCATTTAAAAAAATGATGTTGTTGTTACTTTACGTCGCACTAGAGCTGCACAATGGGCTATTGGCGACGGTCTGGGAAACATCCCGGAGGATGATCCGAAGACATGCCATCACAATTTTGATCCTCTGCGGAAGGGATGGCACCCCCCGCTTCGGTAGCCCGACGACCTGCGCGCGAAGTCGAGCACTTTACGGTAGCACAGTTTAACGAGGACCAATACCGCACACCCTCAGTCCCTACGCAGACTGATCCAAGTGGTCACCCACCCGCACACTGACCGTAGCCAGTGATGCTTGACTTCGGTGATCTGCTGGGAACCGTGTCTTAACGATCAGTCCACTGCGGGACTTTAAAAAAATGAAAGTAAGAGGATTTTAGTATCTTAGCAGCCATTACACATACCTCACCACCTCCTTGTAAATAACATATCAGATCCCAAAACTCTTTCTTACCCTTCAGATCGTATTGTAATATTTGAACTGTCTCAAATTAAATACACTCATGTACATTAATTACGGATAATTCAGAATAACGCGGAAATTGAACCCTAATGCAAAGTAAGTAACAATTTCTCTCCCGTAGAATTATCACACACATCTTCAAGAATAATATACTAATTGTAGAGACCCACCAAATGACGCCGACAGTTCTTCGTAATGACGAAAGGGTAAATTAAGGACATGTCAGGAATGATGGCAAAGAAGTAAAAATTTTCACAAGCGTACTGTAAACCATTCATTGTCATGAATAGTTATGACAGAGAAAACGCATGTGAGTTATTTTTAAGTGGTAGTATTATCGGCCACCTGGAATGTGAGCACTTTCAAATGGAAGTAGCCGAGGTACTTGAAATTTTCCAAAATATAATTTCTAGGCTTTGACAACGAATCAAAGATAATGGAAATGTCAGTACACATTACAGTACCCCCGAGTTACAACGCCAAATGAAAACTGGTATTCGGCAGCAACTGTCAAAAGAAGCAGAGACGAAGCACTGTATCCAGCCTGTCTTGTAACTTGTAAGCTATCTGTAGTCACGGTTACCATAATTTCTAAATTTACCGTGCACAGACGTTTGGGAAATATTGGACTCTATACTCACAGGTCTGAAAAGTGTTCCGCTCACGACAACTGACTGTCACCAGTGACTAGCCTGAAGAATATAATATGTAATATGGACATCATCACAGTGTGCTTATGTGAAGTTTTCTGACGAATGTAAGTTTAGAAGCAGTCTGATTTACGATGGAGAACACCAGATACCCATTACCACCAAAACAGCATGATTGAACGACACCGTTGCGACGGTGCAGGATTGCTCATTTGGAGTGGAATTATACTGAGCTCTGAACACATCTGCATGCTCAAATCGAAATCGCAGGCCAAATTTATCGGGACATCATTCTGGAACAACATTAACGTTTGCTTAGGGGGTTGTCATGGACACAAATTTTGTGTTTATGGATAACAACGCCCATGCTCGCTGAGCTAACATCATAAACGAATGCCTTCAACGTGAGAACATCATCCATATGTAATCCATCCATTCTCACCGGATTAAATAGAGCTTTTGTGGGTCATGAATGGCCAACTGGCTGCAGCCCATCAACCACCTCCTACATTTGTGCTGAGTGGAGTAATCTTTCCCAAGATGATCTCGTTAATATGATGACACGCCTAGGCTTAGGTAGGTAGGAACGTACGCTATTTACGTCGAACTAGAGCTACGCAATGGGCTATTGGCGACTGTCTGGGAAACATCCCTGAGGATGATCCGAAGACATGCCATCGCAATTTTGATCCTCTACAGAAGGGATGGCTCTCCTGCTTTGGTAGTTCGACGACCTGCTCGCGAAGTCATGCACTTTACAATAGAATTGTTTAACGAGAACCGATACCGCGCAATCTCGGTCCCTACGCTGGCTGATCAAAGTGATCACCCACCCGCTTACTAACAGCAGTCAGTGATGCTTGACTTCGGTGTTCCACTGGGAATCGAGTCTTTACGATGAGTCCACTGCTGGACCCCTAACTGCTGTACGAACTGTATTTCATCGCATAGGAGGCATACAATATATTAACCATCTTATCAACTATGTAATAAGTTTTTATAATGCGGATTATTATTTTATAATTGCTTCACAGAGCAAAGAATATAATTTTTTGTGAATGGTATCATACATACGCGTCTTTGACATTTGTTTAATAATTCTCTCTTAATCGAATGAAAATAAGTACTACTCAAAGGGACTAATAATTCGAAAGTTTCAAAGGATACAGCTTCTCACTTGTGCAGATGCGTAACAAGGTACAAATATAACTTATACTTTTTGTATATAAAACGCATGTAGCTTTTAAATTATACCATGTCCTCTCGAAATTTGTTTGATTCAATTTAGCGAGATAAAATACATCGAAAACAAGGCCTCACTAGCTTGTTTGGAAAATTAATCAATTTCCCGTCTTCAAATCACCCCCATTTCCCTCTAAGAAGGAGAAGCGTATATAAGAGAGGAGAGTTTTCAGGTACAATTTATAACGACAGAACAAAGCTCTCTGCCAAAAAAATTCCATAATTGTATTATAAATTTTTCTGAAGAAACACCCTTTTTATTGCTATGATTACCGTTTTAGGAGTATTTCATCGAAATTGAAATGCACCAAAATGCAAGAAATTGCCCTCACGCACATTGTCGCTACGATGAATTGTGCCCAAGTTACACGATGAATTGTAGTTGCGACGAGTTGTACCTATGATCAAAAGTGCTCACGATGAATTGTACCAGTGACGAATTGCCATGTGGCAAATTGTGTGCTATGAATCGCACAACGAATACTCGCTGCACTTATTGCAATAATTTGATTCGGAACCATTGAAATGGGCTGTTAACATTTTTTTCCTCCGAAACTGTCAATGGTTGCAATTTTAAGAAATTCTTCGTAATTCAGTGCAGAGAAATAAGAACCTGCAGCAATGTTGTTGTTGTTGTTCATTTACGTCGCACTAGAGCTGCACAATAGGTTATTGGCGACGGTCTGGGAAACATCCCTGAGGATGATCCGAAGACATGTCATCACAATTTTGATCCTCTGCAGAGGGGATGGCACCCCCGCTTCGGTAGCCCGACGACCCGCACTTCACGATGAAACAGTTTAACGAGGACCAATACCGCACACCCTCGGTTCCCACGCAGACTGATCCAAGTGGTCACCCACCCGCACACTGACCGCAGCCAGTGATGCTTGACGTCGGTGATATGCTGGGAACCGTGTCTTAACTATCAGTCCACTGCGGGACAATGCAGCGATAAAAAAAAATTTTAAATTAAAGATTTTTTTTCTAGCATGTAATAAAATGTCCACTAGATGGCGATTTACAGTTATAAACTAATTATATCCACCTCTCTCTGCCACCGCTGCTATCCCTTCTAAATATTTAACTGTAACTTCATATATGATCTATCAATCCATCATAACAATATTGTAAACAAACTTAAAAGTTGAAGCGAAATGGTCGAATCTGAGACATATTATATTAGTTGAGTCGTTGAACAAATGTAATGTAATGCTTCATATTTTCTACTATTATTATGTTTTTGATGTTTTATATTGAAAAAATTTTCTTTTTAGCTTTTAAGCCTGAAATCATTGTCTTTAACAAAGTAAAGTATTTTGTCATGTGTATCGACATTCTCTTTTAGTGGTGTTCTAGTTAATTTTTTCGATTATTTTTAAATGTGTATCTCTAAAGTGTCTTTTCTCAATGGGTAATTTGGTATTCGAAATAATTTTTTTCCTTGTGGGCCTAGTGTGACATTAACAGCGGAATCAATCTTCCTTCTGTACTTTACGCTTATGGTACGTGGGATTAATAATAACTAATTTTAGTTGTGCTCTTTGCACTACATATTTTCTTCCAATGTAAAATACCTTACGATTTAAAAATACGGAAAACTATCGGTGCTGCAATCATTACGTGATTTTAGAGGAAAGATTTATGTATCGTGATTTGCAGCAGAATAATCGTCAAGTCTGTCTCCCTACAATCGGGAAACGGCCCACAAAAGACTTTTAAAAAAATCTTTTACAGAGGGGGACAAACTCAAATGGATGTAACTCGTAGCCGCGCCTAGGCAAACTTTTAAAGGTTTTTTTAAAAAATTGAATTGCAAGTTTAAAATCAGTTCGGTGCAATAGGAACACGGAAATTTTCTCATTTTGGACTAATTGCAATTTTGTGTACTAGAAAAGGGCAGTTAAGTTGTGAAAGTATTTCATAGTATTTCGAGTGTGGATAGCTTGGTTTTGATCATTTCATTTAGACATACGAACATTTTCAAATTTACTTTTTCTAGATAACTTTCATTCAGTAAAATGCAACTTAAAATTAGTGCCATTTGTTATAAGGATATATAAATTAATTTATGAGAACTTTTCGGTGTATTTTAAATTAGCGGGAAAAGAATATTTTTCTTTTTTTTATTGCATTGATTTGTTAAATGCATGAATGTCTGAAATTGACCTTTTGGCTTAGAAGAAATTTAAATTACAATGTAAGGAATTATGATTTTGCCGAGTACTAAAAAAAAATCATTAGGCGTTTCTTTTAAATGATTAATAAGTTAGTTAGGCAAATTTTAAGTACAACAAATAAATAAAATTGAACTATGAACAACAAACGCAAGAAAACAACAATTAAGATATATTTATGTATGTGACATGACAACAACAAAAAATTAACATTTTGTTTTCTCAACCAAATACCTGTTTGAAATATAAAAAGAAGAAAATTAAAGGAATGGAAGATAATTAAAAAAAAAAGCAACTCTAAAGTAACCTTCTATCAAATCAAATAACTAGATGATAAAATAGTAATAAAAATTAAATGAAAAAGAAATTATTATTAAAACAAACGAAAGTTATTGTTAATTTGCATCAAAAACCTTAGAAGTTTCGATTGGCTATGGCTATAAACTTTATGTGCGCCACGTAGGAAATAATTGGAACTTCCACATCAATCACAACTAAAGCTTCAAATAAAATTTAAATGCACTAGCCACTTAGAAAGTTTTTGAAATTTCCGATTGATGGTTAAATTTATTTGACAGTGATATGGAGACAAATACTGGTTGGTAAAATGATTGGCAAGGTCACACAATATTATAAATTGTTGAGGAACTTTATGGCTTCATTTGATATTGCAATTAAGTGATAAATTCATTTAACTCCAGTTTAGCTTATTAAACATGAAAAAAACTGTTTAAATAACCTGTTACAAAGCAGATTTATTTATATCTACTCCCTACATTTAAACATTCTGTGCAAGTTTTTGAACCAGCGCATTTGAATTTTTTTTTAAATAATAAATTTAAAGTTGATAGAAAGAGAAGTAGGGAGGAAGAATCTTAATCTTTTAAAACTGAGCTTAAATGCTAAAAAGAATGTTTTATAAAAATAAAAATATTCATACAACATTTAAAAAAAAGAACAAGGAAACATAATTTGTCAGAAACGGTTTAAAAAATGCTGCGCTATCATAAAAATGATCATATAAATAAAGAGATACATACAAAACATTCAAAAATGAACGGAAAGAATAAAAATTGATCTGAATTCTGGAGGAAGAAAATATTTACAGCTGAAAATCTTAGTTTTCTAGAATCCTTATTTCAAGAAAAAGGAATGGTGTTTAATAGAATGACTCTTAAAAATTGCCCCATCATACAGGCCTCGCAGCACTCCTATATTTCTTATTTAATCTGGAAAAATTGCTATATTTCCTATTTTTTCCCTAACTAAACTCAGCGGCGCGACAGCCCATGAGGGCCAAGGCCTACTGTGCCCATCTCAGTTTTCTTGACCTTGGGCTCTGTGGTGCATTAGCAGATGTTCCGGTCAGGTGGTCAGCCGAACGCAGAACCCCCAGTGTTTAGTTCCCAAGCATGCTTGGTACTCATTTATCGACCCTCTGAAGGGATGAAAGGCTGCGTCAACCTTGCCCGAGGATCGAACCATGGACCTGTGGCACAACAGCGTGAAGCGCTACCGCTCAGCCACCGGATGTCATTTTTTCCCTATATGTTCCATTTTTTCCTATATTTTTTTCTTAATTTTCCCTTATAATCCTTTCCAACCTCATTTTGGAACATATCACGGGAGGAACAAGAATTACATAAATTACGAATCAGAAATCGTTAGCATTTAAACGATTTGGTTTTCAAGAACGTGATTTACAAATGTCACACTTAACAATTTTGAACTGTAAGGATTAACGAATCGCGATTCCTATGTAGGTGACTTACAAATAAAAATTTACGAGCCATACTGTGATATGTATTATGTATAATTCTGTATACAAATTGCTATTCATTATCACACGATTCAAAAATTCCACTAATATCCAGGCATGTTAAAAAATACGTTTAAATAAATTGCGATTCATTTTAAAGCATTTGTGGTAGTTATTCTGTAGTCTACTTTTAAAATCTACACGGGTGCAATAAAATATTTGGGACTTAAAATGAAAAAATTTGCAGCCAACTTAATCACCAGTCATTCAGTAATCTGCCTTGTGTTTTTAATCCCAACCTAAAGTATATAAAAATTCAATTCAACGGATACTTGATACTCAAAGTGTCTACTTTCCTCATTAGTAATACAAAAAAATTCTAATATCTAATTAATACATTTTTCTTTCTGTACACATTTTTATTCTCACAAATGTTTTTTTTTTAAAGTTTTAGAAATATGAAGAGAGCGTCTGACAATGTTGTTGAAAAAAGTAAAAAGTTAAAACCTGAAACTTCTCAAGGTGGTGTAAGTATTTTTTTTATACAAATGTATTTTTGGGTGTAATTAAAATTTTAATCTTGCAAAAGTTTGATGTAAATTTGCTTTGTTTATATAATGTCGTGCCCTACGTTGTAACCAACTTTACAACCATATTATCAATCTGAATGATCGAGATTCAGGTAAAAACACCAGTTTCCAAGCAAATTCCTATAATTCATTTTATGTTTTAGGCAATTGGTATTGCTTTAATTGAAAACTGATGTCTTGCAATTTTGAAAACCTTATATAATAATTTTAAGTAAATTAAAGATATAGTTTTGTAATAATTAATCTAGTGTTTAACATTTTTTTGTTAAAAGTCAATATTCAAATAGCTTTTTGATATATTAATGAATAGGAAGTTATTATTAGAATCTCCGAAAGAGGAAGCGGAGTCCATTTAGATTACTTTTAACATGGACATTTGATTTTTAAGCCTATAAAACACTTTAAAAAAAATAGAGAGTATGGACAACTGAAAGTGCTCCTCATCAGACCTACCAGATTACCACTGTTCATTTTAAAACTCCTGCCAATAAGTTTTCAAATGACTTAAAATAAAATGTATCACTTAAAGGATGAAGAAAATAATTATGGTCTTCTATGCATTCGTTTTGAATTTATATTTTCTAAATTGTCTCATATTTGGATATTAAGCAAACGTCAATTCAGAATTCACAACTTTTGAAAATAATTATCAAATAAATACATAATTTAGACTTAAAAACAAAACCTAATTCAACGAACAAACAAAAACCTAATTCAATTCAAGTCAACCTAATTTCAAATATTTTTGAGTTTTTACCTCATAAATGAAATAAAATCATCATACAATTATAGCAGAATGAAATAAATTTTCAATGAAATATCAATCCAAAAATCCAATATGTCAAAAATAGTGTTTATAATGAAAAATTTGTAAAGATTAGTTAAAAATTTGTTTTGAAAGTCTAATGCTAACCTCAAAACTGTAACTTGTTAAATGGGACAAATGCAGATGCTGCCAAAATTACCAAGTTAAATTTAAATCAACCATTAATTACTTTGTACTCGCTTCTTATTAAGAAGTTATTTTGTTTGTTTTTTGTATAGTTAGATTTTTTTTAATGTAAATTTTTAATATATTAATCAATTATATTTATCAGTTATATTCATTATTCAATAAGTTTGGAGAAATTATTATTATTATTATTTTTTTTTTTTGAAAAAATATTGTTTGCATTTATTGTATTCAAATAAAAATCCTCTTAAAGGACTGTTAATCCATTGTAGGAGAACATTTCCAATTATTTATTGATCTTTGAAGCTTTCTATTTTTTATGCATTCTATTTGTACCAGTATCCAAAAAAAAAAATTTTTTTTAATCATTTTCTAGCTTGGCATCATTTTATCAGTCACTCTGAAAAATTTTATGTGCCATGATCATTTGCAATTTGATTTTGATCCACATGTCAACTTCATTGTTGGACAAAATGGGAGTAAGTACTAACTATTTTCGAAAAATATTATATCATGTAGTTTAGTATGCTAGTTCATATCCAAAAATTTTGTTTGAATCGAAATGTATTCACTGGTGTTTTTATAGTTTGTCAAACTGTATGATGAATAGTGTGTAAGAATGTAAGCAAATCAAGTAATTACATGTGACTCATTTTTCTCGCTTGGAATAAAAAAAGGGCAAGGCGCTACCTCTGAAAAAAGGCACTTTAAATTTTAAAAGGACGCTCACTTAACACCATAAAAATTTATTAAAATGTGTATTATTATGTAATAACTGAATTTATTCTCAACAATTTTTTAATTACCATGTTATACTATTTCATGTGCATATTTCAAAACAAAATTCTCTCTCATTATCAAAAAACACAAAAAATTTGTAGTTTATAAACTCATGCTAAATCTCTGTGCACAAATTTTCAAAAAAAGAATCATAATTAATTGATAAACGATTTAGACTAAAAATTCTGAGAAAAGGAATATTTAAGAGTATATTTTTTAAAAAAAGGAATTTATTTATAAAATAATTTTAAAATCACTGAAAATTTATTAATATCCTTCCCGAAAAGAGAGGTACCTACAAAAATTTAACAAGTTGAGAATAATCCGAACGAAGTAAATATTTGTTATAGTAATAAGAATTAAACCTGTAAACACAGAAAAAATTTTCTAGTGTGTAATTATTTAAACTGTGAATTAATTTTTTTCAAAATAGAATATGAATAAAAAGGCAATGTTTTTAAGAGATGGCGACTTACTGGTATAAAAAGGACAAAGAGAGCGCATTTGAAGGGATCAAAGAGCAGGCTGTGTGGCCCCTCCTTCTAAGGATAAAATAATTATTAATCGTGCTTAGGGAGAACACTGCTCATTGGAACCCAACCTATGCTCATGAATTTGTAATTAATTGAAAATAAAATAGTAAACAAAAATTGCAATCAAAAAATTTTAACTTTTACTAAAGGAGTTCATGTTCTGTTTTCTGATTATGCGGATTTGAGGCATTTGTAATTTATAACTTATTGTTTTTATTTTTTGTTAACCATTTGTCCAAGCTTTAAGCTTCAAGTTGGTGGCTTTTCTACATCAAAAAGTCCATTTCCTTCTTTAATTTTATTACAATAGTGCAGAGCAATGCAGTTTTTGTGTGATTTTGACTTGAGGCTAAATATGTTGAAGGTAAAATCAAAAATTAAATTGCGTCATAAAATAAATTTATTTTTAAAAAAATTTCTATTCAAACCTTTTCTCCACTGCATAATTATTCGATAAAAAACTGTTTACTAATTTAAATGTCTGATACTTGATAAGCATATATCGTCGACTCTAAAGTAAAATAAAAAATACAAAGAGATATATAAAATCCAATCCCAAGTACCTATTTATTGTTATATTCTCTTAATAATACAGAATGTTCGATTATCCCAAATGAGTGGGGATCAGCAAATTCCGAGCGTCAAAAATCTTGATTTTTAATATTTCCCTGTTTTCTGGAAAATATTGTCACAATTGTAAAAAAAAAAAAATTTAAAATGGAATTTATGCTTATAAGAAAATTAAAGAAGAAATTATAATCATTATCCACAGTAATTATTAATAAAAAAAAGTTTGAACTTGCTAGATGGGAAGAAATGCAACAAAATAACAGAAAAAAACATATTTAAATACTATCTGTTTTTATTACTTAACAGCCGAATTCTCAGCACACCTTATTACCTTATTTTGTGGAAAAAACGCAAAGGAATAAACTTTAAGATGATTTGAATCACTGCTTATCAAGAATCTTAATAATGATAATGAATGAGAATATAAACTATTATAGTTGTTCTTAACAATTTGAAAGAGAAATAACAGAAAGACTGATAGCTATTTGAAAATAAATAATGTTTATAATAGATCGAAATAGTTAAGCTTAATTTGCAATGTGGAAGAAATACGAGTAAAGCAAAAAATTAAAATATAGTTTTAAATTTTTTATTTTTTTTTTGATTTGTCATTAAAAATCTCAGTTTTCTTTAATTTGCGCACCTGGAAAGTCATAAATTTAACTATTTATTTTTTAAGAAAAATCTTGGAAAGTTATGGATTTAGATCTCTGAAAAATTAAATTTTTAAAATGGAATTTCATGTTCTTTAAAATTTATGGTGTTCTTTCGAAAAATGAAAGAAAAAAAATCATTTCTAGAGCGAATTATCTTTTAAACTTCTGTTATTTCAGAATTTTTATTATTATTTATTTTTTTTATTTTATCAATTTAAAATTCTTGCTGAAGCAAGCCAGTCAGTGGCAAAATTTTTTTATTCCAGAATGAAAACAGAAAAATGAGTAATTCTTTCCTTTCGGATGAGTAATAAAAGTATCTTCAGAATATAATTACGTGGAAGAAAAGAAAAAAAATGTTTGCTTTTGTATTTTTTCCAACTATTTCAGTGCTTCAACTCTTTATTTACTCTGTTTTTATAAATGTGAAGATGCGGAGTATAACAGTTTTGGTTATATATATCGTTTCAATTAATGTTATTATAATGCGTTTTTGAATTTGTTGTTGTTTTTGTCGAAGAAAATAGTAGCTTCGTTAAGTCATGGAAAATTCTAGGAATTAGTCATGAAAAGTCATGGGTTGAAAATCTAAAATGTAGCAGATACCCTGTACTTATTGGGTGAATGCAGTGCTTCAATCAAAGTGCTGACAAAAACTAGGGCAATTATCAAAATTTCTGCTTTTAGAACAAGAATAAATGTAAAAAATAAATTTTCAATAGTTATCCATGATAAGTATACATTAAAAATAAATAAGGAACTGACAAATATTTTGAAAAATGGATTTTTAAATGCAAAGAAAAACGAAAATAAACTGTTAATAATTGGTAAAACGGAGATTTAATGCTGAAAATAGTTTCCTAAATTACACAAAACAAAAATTATTAAAGTTTGTAAGAAAAAAACTGAGATTGCTAAGTGAAAGGAAATGCAAGAAGGAAGAGTTTGCATTTGAATCTACTTAATACTCATTGTTGTTCTTATAAGAGATCAGGGATTGTTTGATAATGAATTTAATTAAAAGCAAGTAATATAAAAAAAAAAGTGATGTCAATTGCTACTTAGGTCACCAAAAAAAAATTTTTTAGTTACTAGCTTAAATAACGTTTTAAATTTTTTTCATTTGCAAGCTTTTCTTGGCAATTTTTGTTTTTCTTTAATCATCTTATAAGAGTCTTAGTTACTTGTTTAAATAAAATTTAAAATTTTTTTCATTTGCAAGCTTTTTTTGGCAATTTTTGTTTTTCTTTAATCATCTTATAAGAGTCTTAGTTACTTGTTTATATAAAGTTTAAAATTTTTTTCGTTTGCAAGCTTTTCTTGGCAATTTTGGTTTTTCTTTAATTGTCGCTTGCGTATTGTTGTATTTTCTTTTTGCATTGTCCGTTTGTGAAGCAAAATCCTTCTCTCTTACACATGCACACTTTCCATCTCTCTTACTAATTTATTCACATTTTTCATTTTGTTCCATCATTGACTGAGACTAGAACCCAGAATAAAAAAAGAATATTTTTACCATTGATCTACACACATCACCACTGACAGTATTTATTCCTAAATTTATATTCTGCTAAATATCTTACGTAAAAGAAATTTTTTCTCTCATATAAAACTAAAATTTATTAATTACCGTCATTCGGGGCTACTTTGTGCAGGATTTTGCAGTTTTTGAACTTTGACATGTAAAAAAACTATGTTAATTCTAACTTTAGTAAAATTTATCGATATTAGATTCATAACTGGATTCAGACGAGTGAATTTGATCAATATTGGCATTATTTGAATGTAATATTTACGGATAATAAGTCAAAACATACCTTGCACAAAGTAGCCCCCAAATGGGGCTACTTTGTGCAGCGATAGGAATTCAGTTTAATAATCATGTTTTTAGTAAAATATTGATATAAAATTGTTAAAAAAGTTAATTGTTGACATTTTTAATAACAAAAACATCAAGATATGTAAAGATATTAGTTTGAAAATAATTTTCAGCGTTAAAAAACCATTTTTTATAAAGAATTTTTTCTTAAAAAGAATGTTTATTTCAAAACATTTGAGTTTAAACAAAAGGAAACCATATACATTTTTGAACATTGAAATGGATGAAATTTCAAAAATAATAATTATTACATATTCATTAACATTTATAATATTGATAAATTTGAACATAACATGCTTGAATGAACATGACAGAACTTGCTCTTCAGTTTCTGTCAAAATCACCTGATGTCCTATAAAATATATTTTTATGTGTTAAATCGTTTGATTAATTCATTAGAAAAATCTTTGTAGAAGAAAAATAATAGTTTACCAGCACGTTTCACGTGTTTCTTGTGAATTTTATTAGAGATAGTATTTCTGTGGATTTTGTACTTCCGAGAAGCTTCTGCAATCGACATACCACCAGCAACTGCTTGCAAACATTGTTGCAGCTTTTCTAAAGTGTAATCACGGTAGTTTCTCGTTCCAGGTATTTTTTTATAACGTCTGACCATTTTTCTGTCGAAAAAAAAAACGAATGAAACTTTGCACAAAGTAGCCCCAAAGTGCATTTTTTTTCATTTTCCGTTTATTTGTTATTAATTTTCAAATTTTTTTAACGCTAACATGATATAATTGTTTATTAATATATAAATAAAAAATTTTGCACTTACGACAATTGTTTTATCAACGTCTTTGCATTTCACAGCTAAAGTTTCCACACACACTTTTCGACATCCGACATCCTCGGAAAGTTGTTGACATTGGATGAACAAAACACACTCTGAGATTGTTTTAAAATTCGAAAAATTTTTTGTAGTAATAGAAGAGACTTCTATCTTCAAATTCCACACATTTTTAACATGAAATAAACATAATACTGAATAGCAGCACTTGAAAAATGCCAAATTCGAATTTGCACAAAGTAGCCCCCGCTGCACAAGAATGACGGTATATTTAATTAATGAATTAATATTTGAGACAAAAACTGTATTAGCATCAAGTTTCATCTACTACAAGTTTAAAAAAATGTATTGGAACTTGTGTGGATGAATAAAAAGTATTTTATTTATGATTGAAAATGTAATCAAGATATATAAATATATATAGAGAGAGTGTGAACTAATAGTAGAAATTGAAAAATTAAATGGTACTCACTAAAACACAATCCTTATAATTATTATTTTCCTATAGGCTGTTTAACATTATCTGCCTCATATTTTCTCTTTTTTTACCATTCATCCTTCTCTCTTCCTTGTAGCGAAAAAGGGAAAAACAAAAAAAAATTCTTGTTTTCTTCCAAACTGGCTTTAAAGCAACTTTATATTTGAACTTGTGCAGTCTTTAATAGGTTATTATTCCCTGACTATTTATATTTTAGTGAAATTTAAGGTAGAGTGAGCAATTATTCAATTACTGTGATTATAAGCACGTAACAAGGTTAGCGAAGAACATCTATTAGGAGTGTGTATACAGTCAAACCCCGCTATAGTGAACACGGCTTATAGTGAACTCCCGGATATAGTGAACAAAATGCTCGGTCCCGTGCCTTGCTGTACTCGTATAATATTATTTTTAGTGGATATAGTGAACCAAAAAAGTGAGGAAGTTGGATATAATGAACTTTTTTCTGTCTTCGACTGATTCCCCCCCCCCCATTTTCTTTGTAAGAATTTTGAAATTTGTACTTCAAAATAAATACATACACCGATTTTTAAAACCATCTATAGAAACTACTTTTATGTGCTCGAATGGCAGGTTAGACAGGTTTAAAAAGCGGAATAACAGAAATTCAGGAAAAATAACGGATATAGTGAACTCTCGGTTATAGTGAACCGAAATTTCGATCCGTTGAAGGTTCACTATAGCGGGGTTTGACTGTATATACTTTCTGGAAAGGTAAGGCAGCGCCGTTATTCAGAAGCTACAGGCTGTCGTCGTTGACTCGTAGTGATGACAGAAGGTAACGTCGGTTGAAATCACAACAATTTTACAGTAGATTTTCTAGTTTTCCAAATGATTTTTTTTTATTTATTTCCGAAAATTCTGGTTACTTGAGCCTTTCTGTTAGTTGAATTTTGGATAGTTAGACTTGTACTGGACAATAATTTATTTCAATAATCCTTATGTTCTAATTTTTTAAGGTGGAAAAAGTGCTGTTATGATAGGAATTATTTTAGCGCTTGGTGGAAAATCTAGCGTCACTGGAAGATATAGTAATATTCACGATTTTGTAAAGATTGGTAAAAAGTAAGCACTTGACTGGAAAATAATACATTAAGTTTGTTTTTTTTTAATTCAGAATTTTATTTTATTCTTAATGTGTATTATTGTTTAGACAGTTTAAAATTTTTTTCGTTTGCAAGCTTTTCNTGCTCATTGGAACCCAACCTATGCTCATGAATTTGTAATTAATTGAAAATAAAATAGTAAACAAAAATTGCAATCAAAAAATTTTAACTTTTACTAAAGGAGTTCATGTTCTGTTTTCTGATTATGCGGATTTGAGGCATTTGTAATTTATAACTTATTGTTTTTATTTTTTGTTAACCATTTGTCCAAGCTTTAAGCTTCAAGTTGGTGGCTTTTCTACATCAAAAAGTCCATTTCCTTCTTTAATTTTATTACAATAGTGCAGAGCAATGCAGTTTTTGTGTGATTTTTGACTTGAAGATAACGCAAATAGAAATACGCATTTAAAACACCTACCGAAAGTATTAAATAATACCGGTATTGAATCTCATGAACAACTCATGGTCGGCAGTCTTCTTCACAGAAATCCAGTTGAAATCCAATTGCATCTTCACAAAAATCCAATTGCAGTTGAACTTCGTCATGCCGTGCGGTAGGATTCCAATTTTCGTGAAGTAGGATCAGTGGAATACAATCCCTTCTCGTCGCCACGTATTGTATTGTGAAGTATCCTTGGTGGTATCCAAGTAAGACATATAATAACTAAGGTATAAGTTTAATAAATTAACAAAACATGACATAACAATAACATACTTGCAGCACATAACAAGGTTAGCGATGAACATCTATTAGGAATGTGTATATATACTTTCTGGAAAGGTAAGGCAGCGCCGCTATTCAGAAACTACAGGCTGTTGTTGTTGACTCGTAGTGATGATGGATGGTGGCGTCGGTTGACATCACAACAATTTTACAGTAGATTTTCTAGTTTTCCAAATGATATTTTTTTTTTTTTATTTATTTCCGAAAATTCTGGTTACTTGAGCCTTCCTGTTAGTTGAATTTTGGATAGTTAGACTTGTACTGGACAATAATTTATTTCAATAATCCTTATGTTCTAATTTTTTAAGGTGGAAAAAGTGCTGTTATGACAGGAATTATTTTAGCGCTTGGTGGAAAATCTAGCGTCACTGGAAGATATAGTAATATTAAAGGATTTGTGAAGACTGGTAAAAAGTAAGCACTTGACTGGAAAATAATACATTAAGTTTGTTTTTTTTAATTCAGAATTATATTTTATTCTTAATGTGTATTATTGTTTAGACACAAAAATAAGTAATTTTTTTTAAAATAATGTCAATGTTTATAACAGTTTAATTCCATATTGAGATAAATCCATTGTAGTGTGATCATTTTTAAATGAAAACTTTAGTTAGCATCAAATCTATTTGATTTTTGGGAAGTCATTTGTTATGCTATTCTCAATCTGTAGCAATATGCATAAATCTCTGTATTTTTAATAAAACTTTAACAATTTTGACAAGTGCAAATTTTGAAGTAAGAACCATTTCAAAGTAAAAAAATTTCCTATTATAATGAAATTTGAATCCACCTTACGTATGCTGATATTATATCAAAGGAAATAATATAAGTTGTTATTTTTTAACTTACAAAAGCATTTAAAAAAGAAATTTGATTTAAACTATTTATAATAGTAGACTCAGCAAAATCAAATGATAGTCCTATTATTGATTTCAAAGTGTATGCAATCCCACCAAAGTTTTTGTGCATCAAAATTCATATCTTGTCAGCCTTTTATAAATGCATACCACCTATTGTTAGGAAATATTATTTACCAAGTTAATCTGCTGCTATTAATGAGTGTTTAAACAAAATTAATTATTGATGGTATAGAAATGATGCACAATTACATAAAGGGTACTTTTTAACGAAAAAACTGCAACTAATGCATTAAATCTCAACAGACAAAAGAGTAGGTGTGTGCCCATTTAAATCAACCAGACGTTGCATCAAACTAATATACATTGCATTGTCTGGGTAAAGTATTCTATTTTTTAGAAATTTAACATTCTATATGGTGATTTTTAAATTGTGAGATAATTTCATTTTTATAAGCGAAATATTTTCCGATTTATTGCCTGGTTAAGGAAACCGGGAATGCTTTAGTTAACAAAAATGGGAATTAAGTATTATAAAAGTAAATACTAAAAATGATCTTGCTCAATTTAGATAGAGTAATTTTTTTCCCTTTAAAATGTTACTTTAGTTGAATTATTTAAGTCATGCACGTTCAAACAATAGCTGGTGATTGATCTTCCATCTCGTCTTTCAAAATAATATCTAATAATAAACATTCTTGAGGAATTTTGTTAAACTGATTATGTTATTAGTAATACAGGGTTGCCCCTCTACAGGGAGAACAGGGAAAACCTGGAAAATACAGGCAATTTAAAAATCACCTAAAATAACAGGGAAAATGCAGGGAATTTTGTTTTTTTATTTTGGTCTTTTAAAAAATGGTGGCCACTCAAAGCGAGATGATATTTCAGCTATACTAAACTATTTCATTAACCATAGCATTATTTAAGTATGTTCAGCTGTTTTTCCAGCAATTGAAACTAATAAATATAGTTAGCCCAATATAGCTCACACAAGAGCACAGTAATTGTTGATTGATGACCAAAGTTGCATGTACTAAAATGATGCTTGATTATGTAATAGCTTGTTGAATTATAACTTATTGATCTTTTGTTTTGATCTATTTTGTTTTCTGTAGCACAGCACATGTATCTGTTACATTAAAAAACTGCGGACCCTATGCTTACAAACCCGAAAAATATGGAGATAAAATAATTGTAGAAAGAGAAATAAGTTCTGAAGGGAATTCAGGCAAATATAAACTGAAAAATTCAAGTGGTAAATATATCTATAATTTTTATAAATTAACTTATTAAGAATTTCATATTTTGAAGCACATAGAAACAGTTCCAGTAATCTTAGTTATCAACTCGATTTAAGACTATTTCTATCCTTAAATAAAAAATTTAAATGTGGTGAAACACTTACAAAATTACGATCAGATATTTATCAGAATAAGATATTATATTGCTGAGGCTTCCTACTGAGTCAAGATAACCTGAAAAACTTAGCATTTTTTGGCCAAAGCTTTGAAAAATCATGCAACAAGCCTGGAAAATTATCCATTTTAAAATTTACATTAACAGTAAGTAGCCAATAAGTTAGTAATTCTAACAAGTATGTTACTATTATAGTTAGTTTGTTGCTATTATTTCTTAAAAAAAGTTTCATTACAACATTTAAATTTCATTTGATTTAAGATTAAAATGCCAATTTGAACAAAAAGATTTTTTACAAATTTCTTGTTCCAAATTATTTTTTAAATATAACTGACTAGCCTCTATAAATTATTTAACGTTGAGTTTTCATATTTTTCTGATAATTGTGTAAGTTATTGCTTCTATTTATAACTTACTGTCTGTTATAAATTCTAATTCTACCTTCTTAAAGAAATTAGGCTAAACTTGACCTGGCAGTAACTGTTGAAAACAGTTACTGTTACTGTCTGTTAGTCTTAAATCAGTCATTAAAATAGCATATTTTTTTGTGAAAAAGCATCATTTAATGCAACTAAGGAGCCTTCTTAAACAGTCTAAATAATTTCATGGCACTTCAAACATTTTGTCCCAGATATTGATACTGCCCACACTATTGCTTCAGTTGTCACAAATAAAACAAAATAACAAGTACAATACAAGGTCGCACGTAGCACAAAACCTGTTTGTTCACCATCTGAAAATTCTATCAATCTGGAAAGATCTGGGAATTTTATTAAAATACTTTGAAAATCATTAATTTGAAAGGGTTCAAAATATCAATATTTTTTTCCAAATAAATTGGTTTAAAAAAAAAAAAAATCTGGCAGAAATTTTCTGACTTACAGCTTTGAGTCACCTTATGTAAATAAATTGATATCTGTAAGACATTTGTTTTATTTGGGCATTTATATTTACGGGGTATCTGCGCACCTGGGAAGTCATGGAAAGTCATGAATTTCAGTATTGAACAAAATTTGTCATGAAATGTCATGATTTTTACTATTTTTAAGAAAAAATCATGGAGAGTCATGGATTTAGGTCTCCGAAAAATCTAATTTTTGAAATGAAATCCCCCTCCCCCCAATTTCATCCTGTTCCAACTATCTGAATTCTTAACAAAATCATCACTCAGTCATATTTTATTAGAATATAAAATGATTTTATCATCTTCTTTAAAAATTATGGTGTTCTTTCAAAAAATGAAAGAAAAAACATCATATCTAGAGCGAATTATCTTTTAAACTTCTGAGATTTATAATTTTTTTTTGTTTTTGTTTTTTTTTTAATTTTATCAATTCAAAATTCCAGTTGAAGCAAAACAGTCATTGGCGAATTTTTTTAATTCCTAAATGAGAACAGAAAAATCAGAAGTATTTCTTTCCTTTCTGATGAACAAGAAAAGTATCTTTAGAATATAATTCTACAGAAAAAAAAGGAAAAAAAATTATTTGCTTTTGTATTTTTTTCAGTTATTTTATTATTTCAACTCTTTCTTTACTCTGTTTTTTAAATTTAAAATCTATAAATATGAAGATGCAAAGTATAACAGTTTTGGTTATACCTATCATTTCAATTAACGTTATTATAATGCTTTTTTAAATTTATTGTTGCGTTTTTGTGGGAGAAAATAGTAACTTCGTTCAGTCATGAAAAATTCTTGGAATTAGTCATGGAAAATCATGAAAAGTCATGAATTTGAAAATCTAAAATGTGGCAGATACCCTGTATGTATTTTATGTATAAAATTATACGAAAATTTTATCAATTTTCAAAAATATTTTTTAGCTAAAAATTGATTTATCATTTATTATGAAAAATTGCACTGTCAAAATAAAATATATTTGTTTTCAAAATTAAGATATCAGTATTTCACCTTTAGCAATTGCAATTGGTCAGTAATATTTTCCATTATGAGCTACCAATTCATCTTATAGTTATCTTTGAAATATTACGAAGATAAATATAAAGANGTTTCAAGTGCTCTAAAACAGACGCCCGTTTTTTTGCACTTTGAACATGTTGACTATTATTTCTTATTTATATATTTTTGATCAGATAATATCTTAAAATTGTTGCAAAATTAAACTAAATTAACCTTAAAATGTTATTTTGCTACTGCTTTAAATAGTGTGGGAAGCCATTTACTCCCATGTTAGCATCTATCTAATCTTGTTATTTATTTTTTTGCTTTTGTTTCAGCCTTAAAGTTGTGTTTATGTGTTAGTTATACGAACAATTTTGACTGCTGCCAGTAGTTCTAATTATAACAAGCTTTAACTCTATTTATTCTTAGAAATTTTTACTATTATTATTAATTGTAGGTAAAATCGAGTCTACATTGAAAGAGGAGCTTAAAAATATTCTGATTGCAATGGATATACAGGTAATTTTTTACCTGTTTACAATTGGTTAAATTAAAAAATTTATATTTATTTCTTCAAATTATTAATGCAAGGCTTCTGTTTTATTAGATTGATAATCCGGTTTTAGTTTTAACTCAGGATACAAGTCGCAATTTTCTAATGGCCAAAACAGGAAAAGAAGGAAAGTTGTTTGAAGTAATTATCGATTTTATTTATAAATCTTTTTTCTGCCTTAATTTTAAATATATATATTTACTTCAATCTAATTTTATTGAAGACAACAGTAATGCATGGAATGAATAGGTTTTAAGCCTTTTTAATAATCATTATTCAAGAATATTTTAATAATTTATTAAAAAAGATATTTCAACTTACACACCTCATACTCTCTATATTAAACACAAAAATTCTTCATCAATGTAATTATTTATTCCTGGCATTTAAATATTTATAACTAAATATTTGGTAACAATTATTAATGCAATCTGAATGATAGCAGAATTTTTCAGTTGACTAATAGCATAAATTTTTAGCATTGACTATTTAAAAATAAAATATCAGCAGTATAATTTAATAAAGTAAACAATAGGACGAAAAATTCAAATTCGAGAATTAATTAACCAGCTAATTGTGTAGGTGTATTGCTAATTCTTTTAATGAGTTGTAAATGCATAATAAAAGGCAGAAATCTATAATAGTTGTTGATTAATTCTGGCTACAATACAAAAAAAGTTTTGTTAGTTTTTTTACAGAGGTACTGGACTTCAAAAATTGGAAATTGAGTATCAACAATCTATAGCAATGAATGAGGATAGTGCAAAAGATCTTGCAGCTAAGAAACAAGTGAGATTTCTTTTTTACATATGGTGTCTGACAATTTTAAAACATCATTTCTTGTCTTCAGAGTTAATTTTATTTATTTATTAGGCTTTCTCTTTAATATTTGATTGGCATGCATAATAAATCTACCCAATTTCAGTATCTAACATCAAAATTAATAATTTATCAAAGTTAATAGTTAATCATTTGATTAACTAGTTGTCTTTCAAAAATTATGTTGCGCTGATTTAAAATACTATTCTAAACCTTTAAATTTCTGTGTATCGTACTATTCTATCATCATTAAGTATGGTTTCTATCAAAAGAAAAATTCTTAAAAATGCAGTAAAAGCCTGACTATCCAGAATTCGTCAAAAAGAAGTTCTTAAGATGGTGATGTGCGCAAAAAGTGAAATTAACATTAAAGGGTCCAATCTTCTGACTATTCTACTAGCCAAACTATTAGAGTCATATTTTCCAGATTGCTGCAGCCCCCCATTTTGTTAGGGTTAGAAATCTGAATCCGTTTAAAAGTCAGAGAAACAACTCCTGCAGAAAACAAAAGCGATAAAAAATTTTAAAGATGTGTGTTAGCAGGACAGTACTTTATCAGGGGACACACTGCCTGCTAACACACAGGAGCCTTTCTGTTGTCAATGGTGAAACCTAAAACTGAAGTGCCCCGATGTCCCATAATGGCAAATAAGAAAAAACAATTAGAAAAATTGAAATGTAAATACAAAGATAAATTAATGTCAAACAATCACAAAGTAAGTCTTAATAATGACTTAAAAGTCCACAAAATAAGACATAAGAAACGCCCACAAGTAAGAAAAATAAATAAAGATAAAGTTACAGTTAGAATTAGTCATAGTACAGTACATTTAGTCATAGTCTGATTTGGTCATTTAAAATATCGTCTGCACTAATTAATTAGCCTATTTAACACTAGGACCTCAAAACATGCTTGAGTGTTAGTACATGAAAATATTCCATTATTAGATTATTCAAGATTTCTTTTTTTGTTTTGTACACTGTACATCAGAAAATCATATAATATTAGTTACTTTTAAATATTTTAATTTTAGAATTTTCTGTGTTTTTTACATTAATATTTTTGAATTTTATGTTTTATTATTTAGAATTTCTTTTTTTTTTCTGCTTTTAATTTTTAAAAAATCGTGATTTTTCTTATTGATTTTTATTTGTTGATTAGATAATCAATGTATATACTTAAAAAATAGAGAAAAGTGTAAATAGGCTAAATTTGAATATCAGTATTAAAAGCCTTGATTCTAACCTTAACATTGTTGGATAAATAGAGCAATTATTTTCACTTTTAATCTGTAACTTTAGCAGACCTGCCAACCCTCCGGTTTTTGACCGGAGGCTCCGGTTTTTTAAACAATCATTAAACCTCTGGGGTTTCGCCAAAAATCTCCGCTTTTTTTTATTTTTTATTATTATTTCCTCACAGAATGACGATTCTCGGCGCAGTTGCGATATACGTAGAAGCGGCGTCGGCGCGTACCTCTCATCCAATCATAGCCAATCCTTCGGATTCGTCATTGCGTATGCCCCGCCTCTCTCTCTTCGGAATCACCGTTTTCTGATTGGTTATTCTTTTGAGTGTGCGAACGTATCTTCAACAAAGATTTAAGATCAATCTCTCACATTGGGAAGTGAAGTGAATTACTTTTTTGTTTGCTTTGAATTTCGTCTCCGATCTCGATTACGTTTCACGTGGTGCTGGACTTGTTTTGATTTTGTCTGAAAATATTGACTGAAATGTCAGAAAAAAAGAATAAAAAATATTCGACATCATTCAACAAGACCTATTCTGATGAATTTCCATTTATTACTTCATCTAAAAGTGGAGTAAATTATGCCTTTTGCACCGTATGTTCGACGGATATTTTGATAAAGCACAAAGGCAGAGGAGATATAACTCAGCACATTGAGAGAGAAAAGCATCGGCGAATGACAAAAACTCTCGCCGAAAACAAAACTCTTGGTTTTTCCTTTGTCCAGAACGATATGAATGTGATTCGGGCGGAATGTATGTTTACATCCTTTATTATTGAACATAATCTTCCCATAAGTGTGGCTGATCACGTTGGTCCGCTATTAAGGAATATGTTTCCTGATAGCAAAATAGCCAAACAATACGGTTGTGCCAGAACTAAAACTACTGCCATAATAGGGGAAATGGCACATTCTGAAAAGATTGATATTGCCAAAATGCTGAGAACGAACATGTTTTCTATTTCAACCGATGGAAGCAACAAAGGAGATTTTAAGTTATTTCCTATTGTTGCTACTTGTTATGATCAAAACAAGCTACTTGTAGAAACACATTTATTTTCTGTTCCAGTTCTGGAAGGGGATGCTACAGGTTGTAATATAGCGAAACTTGTTTTGGATAGTTTAAAAGTGAGTGAAATTCCTTTGGAGAACTGCTTAGCATTAGGTGTTGATAATGCACCTGTTATGGTTGGGGAAAAAAACGGAGTTGGGGGAATTCTTACAAAGGATATCCCACAATTATTTGTGCAAGGCTGCTTATGCCATCTTGTTAACTTAGCTGCAGAAAAGGGGGCTAATTGTATTCCTGTGAACATTGAAGAATATATAATTGATATATTTTTTTATTTGGAGAAAAGTGTTAAAAGGAAAGAGAAACTTAAAAAGTTTCAAGAACTCCATAATACAGAAACTAGAAAGGTGCTAAAGCATGTCTCTACGAGATGGTTGTCACTAGGACGTTGCTTATCTAGATTACTGCAACAATGGGAGCCATTAACTTCTTTTTTTAAAGAAGAAGTAAAAGATTCATCTTCTGTTGCCTTACCAGAATATACTATTCCAAAATTAAAGTCATCTGCTCATTTACCTAAATCGGAATCTGTTGATAAAGGGAAAAGAAAGATGAATGATAATGTTCAGCCTGCACCTAAGAAGCAGAAGGTATGTGATAATGTAAATTTAGATCAAAATTCTAGTGCAAGTAATATTCTTTCCAGAGTAGAAAGACTTTTCATGTTTTTATCTTCTGACCTTAACAAGGCATACGTAAACTTTTTGCTGCATATACTGCCTGTGTTAGAACATTTTAATGTGACATTACAGTGTAAATCTCCAAAAATTCACATCTTGAGGCAGTTGATGAATGAACTTTTTAAAACACTTTTATCTAAGTTTATGTTGCCAAATGTTGTAAAATCTTCTAAATCATTATTAGAGGTCAATTTTTATTCAAGAGATAACCAAAAGGAGGATGTTGATCTAGTTGTAGGACAGACTACGAATAAAATTGTTGAGTCTTTGAGTGATAAAGAAAAGAAATCATTCTATGCACACATCAGAAAATATTTTGTCAAAGTATGTGACTATATGAGACAGAAATTTCCCTTTAATGATGAAGTAGTAATTAATGCTGAAGTTGCTAATATGGAAAACTTTGACAAAGTATCTTTTTCTAGTGTCAAATTTTTTATTGATCGTTTTCCGGGACTGTTGAAATCTTTAGGTGATTGCTCAACAGTTGATGAATTGCAGTCACAATTCAATTCTTTGCAAATGGAAGATTTTCTTGGTTCTCTTGAGTCAGAGCAAAGACTTGATTCTAAATGGGTTAAATTGTGTGCCATGTTTAAAAATAAATATGATTTGTTATCTAAATTCATGTTGTCAATACTAGCGNATTATTGCCACAACAAGCATTGTTGCTTCTAGTAAAATAGAAGCGAATAATTTTTAAAATTGGTCTTAGATTAAGGTCCTTGAAAATTTTGTTGAGTTCCTTGAAAAGTCCTGGAAAGTCCTTGAATTTCAATCTCATCATAGAGTGGGAACCCTGACTAATTAATTAGCCTATTTAACACCAGGACCTCAAAACATTATGCTTGAGTGTTGGTACATGAAAATATTCCATTATTAGATTAGATTATTCAAGGTTTCTTTTTTTTTTATTTGTTCACTGTACATCAGAAAATCATATAATATTAGTTACTATTGGATTTTTTTAATTATGTAATAGAATAATTATAATTGTGCCTTTTATTTTATGTAATCTCATATACACTAAATATATTAAATTCTTTCTCAAATTTGATACTTTAAGTCTAAAATTTTAAATATTTTAATTTTAAAATTTTCTGTGTTTTTTACATTAATAATTTTGACTTTTATTATTTAGAATTTCTTCTTTTTTTTCTGCTTTTAATTTTTAAAAAATCGTGATTTTTCTTATTGATTTTTATTTGTTGATTAGATAATCAATGTATATACTTAAAAAATAGAGAAAATTGTAAATAGGCTAAATTTAAATATCAATATTAAAAGCCTTGATTCTAACCTTATCATTGTGGGATAAATAGAACAATTATTTTTACTTTTAATCTGTAACTTTAGTCAAACTCTAGTGTGACAATAAGAATTCTCTTATTAAAATACTATACAACAACTTAGGTGAAATCAACAAATGATTTATTTAAAACATTTTTATGTTTTTGTTTTAGGCTCTGGATCATACGGAGAAAGAAGTTAAAAGATTAGAGAAGTTGCGAAAAAGTGATGAACAACTCGATGAATTAAAAAGAGAATCATTTTGGGCCAAAGTTATACTATTAGAAAAAGTTTGTAGATAAATGTTACATAGCTGCCAATTTTTATGCATTTTGCATGAAATTTATTTTTATATTTTAAGTGGTAGTAAAAATTATGGCTTCTATTTATTTCTTGGATTTATAAATTTAACTTAAGGTAATTTTGATCCTGGCTGCATTTAATAAATTAAACTTTCATGCATAAATATATTATTACCGTTCTATAATGTATTTTAGCTTTTACGAATTAAAAATTATATTTCTGCCCATAATATTAATTCAATATTCCATATTACTACCGCTAGAAAATAAAGTTTATAGATTGACAGATATGATATTGTGATTTTACTGCAAAATGTATTAAAGCATATAATGTATCTCTGTGGTTACCTTAGAAATTAAACAACTAAATTGCTGTGAAGAGCTTGTTGCTAATTATTTTATTCTGACTTAAGTTTAATTAAGATAATAAGATTAACTTAGATTTAAAAAAATATTATTTTAATCTCGTAAACTTTCTATTTTTAATAAAAGTGATTCTCTCCCCCCTTAACTGATTAAATAAAGATGAATTTTTTTTAAACTATAAAAGATGCAACAATTACTCTAATCAAATCTTAATTTTATTGCAAAACAAATCATAATTAAAACTTATTAAAATTACTTTAAATGTAATTATTGTATATATAAATAAACATATTAATGATTAATGCCTGTCAGCAATTAATTTAAACTTTCATTATCTATTATATTTCCTTATGGAGACATAATCAATTCATACAATTTGTGAACATAAAATTATATTAAATTTGTCCTACAGTCTCATTTTTCAAAAAATTCCTTTATGTGCAAGTAACAAGTGTACTTTTCGGCTTTCAGTGATGCAAAATGTTATATTAAGTGTTCCATTTAAGATTATTATATGTTTTATGAATGAAAAAAAATATTTTGTTTCTTATTTTTTTTAAAAAATCACCTAATTTTAAATTTCTTAAAGACAGCTAGCAGAATTTTGTTTTTAATTCTTTATCAACTTATTTTTCATTCAATTACTAATTATATTTCCTGATCATAAGACATTTACTTTTCCAAGACTTAAAAATTTAGATTATTATATTTAATAAGTTATTGGAAACCCTTATTTTTGTAAAAAATGTACCTATCTAGGGTATCATGTCTAGTGGAATCAGTGTTTATACATGTGTATATATATATTGGGTCATTTAGTATGAAACGTCCGATTTGAGAGCAAAAGTTTGGTTTATTATATCTTGGGCAAGAAATAATATAATTAATCAAAATATGCACCTAAACTATCAATGGAACTGTTCAATATCTCAGAAATATAGCGCCAATTTGTCACCTTTCTCTTAGCATCCTCGCCACTGTTTCTTGTAAGCTCAATCAGTTGAAATTTGGTTGTTGATTTTATAGCATGAGCGTGCTCGTAGCACCAATGATAATAAAATTTCAAATACAGTCCAATAGCTATTTTATTCATTATTATCAAACGAACCGGCATAGAAATCAAATCAATTAGTATCAAGCAACAACGTTGCCATTTTAAAAATAGTTTATCAATACCGCTAGCGAAAAAATCTGGAGAGCACTGGTGATGAAATCCCAATATGCATTTTCCAATGCATGTTGGGAATTGAAAATTTTCCTTGCAAAAAATTGCCCAAAGTTTGGAAAAAATGGTAATCGGTTGGCGCGAGTACGGTGGGTGACAAAGGGTTTCCAGGCCTAGTTCCAGTAGTTTAAGTAACGACGATCTTGCAACGTGTAGTAGAGCGTTGTCCTGCATGAGGATTGGTCTGTTCCTGTTGACTAATCTCTGCTGCTTAATTTGAAGCTGCCTCATCATTTCTTCAAACTGCTCAAGGTAGAAGTCCGCCGTTACTGTTTATCCACCTTGCTCTCAGACCACCCGCGGGGTTCATTTTGAAAATCAAAATCTCCAGATAGGAATTTTATGAACCATCAATGTACTGTACGTTCGTTGGCTACATCCTTGCCAAACACTTCATTAACATTTCGGCTTGTGTGCGCTTCATTAGTTCCAAAATGGAACTCATATTCAAAAATAACTCGCATTTTTGTCTTATCTATGGCTTACAATATTTAACCTCCATACGACAATATGATAGGCTATAAAAAACAAAAACGTGCACCTGAAAGCCAGATGGCGCACCTTCTCAATGCAAATAAATTAAGGGCAATCGAAGTGAAATATCGGAGACATCTGGTATCAAACTTGAGGCTTTAGGTAATCGGACATGTCATACTTAATGACCCAATATATATATATATGGTATGACTTGCGGAATTGTCCAAAATCTGAAAAAACTCTTTAAGCTTGGGATAAATACATTTAATTTTGGGCAACTAGCTTAGACGTCGTTAGTGGTTTAAGTAAAAGAAAATCAGGATGTTCCAAAGCAGTTCAGATTTTCAAGATTATAATATGTATACTATATCTATATCATGTCACTTTTTCAGTACTAATTGTTTGTCATGCTTATCTTGTTCTCTGAAATTAATTTAAAAGTAAAAAAAAAATTTTTAGGAATTAGAAACAGAAAAAGATAAAAAAGAAGAGCTTCTTGAAAAAATAGATAGCGCAAAAAAAGAAGCTGAAGAAAGCAAGGTAATTTTTTTGAAAATTAATTTTTTTTTAATTTTCTATTTTTATTTGCTGTTTATTTATTTGCCAGTATCTAGGTATCTTATTTATAGAAAAAACAAACGTTTTATTGTAATAATATTTTGATTGATAAAATAATATCTACCTACTCCTGATTAATGCCTGCTTCTTTCAATGTTAACCGTTTTGTTATGACTGTTTATAGTTAAACTTTTCGTGATGACTGTTCATTGTTAACCCTTTTGTGACATCTCCCTAGGAGAGTGTACCATCTCAATTTCTCCTTCACTGCCACATATTTGTGACAGTGTTCTGAAATGTTCTAAAAACTATAATTTTTAGCACTAGATGGCATTGTATATCCATCAGATTTGAGATACATGTAGGTTTGGCTTTCTACTGAAAGTGAGAGACATATGACTCGCATGCACATGGTGCTTAATTATCTAAACATATCAGAGCAAAAAGAATGTTTCCTAATTCTTTCCTAGTTCTTGCTTTATGGTGGCTTTTTAAAATGAGAGCATATAGAATTTGTTTATAGTAATAGGGAGAGTTTTATTTTCTCTATAGTGTATATTTGGGTTTGCAGTACAGTTTTCGATTGATAATTAGAACTTGAAGATGTAAAATTGCTCTGTTCCTTTGCTGTGTTAAAGCATCAAAAATATTTTACTCAACTTAAAATACCAGAAATTATACAAAAATTTATTTAAATAAGAAAAAACTTAAGTAAATACATTATATGTAAATAAATAATATATACCATATATGTCCTTTATCTACTTTACAGTACATTATTAAAGAACAAGTTCACATTTTGGCATTTTAATAGATTTAGGCTTAATAGCAAAAAATCCCTCAGACCTGGAATGGCGCTCAGAAATGAGACAACTGGCCTCAGAGATAAGTGCTATATGTATGTATATAATATATATTGAACAGGGGTTAGTTGTTTAATCTAATTTATGCAGAGCAAAAGTCATCACCATGAATAATATTACTGTTACAGAACTTTTTGTTTTCTTTTAGACTCTAAATAAGTGTGTGAATGATATTAAATGCATTGCATAATAAATACATAACATAATTACGGTTTAATAATTGCAAAACTTTAATACATTAAACAAAAATGTAAAATGCTGTGTAATAAAGTAATGTTTAGAAATGATAACCTGGATATTTGTTTTATGTATTTAAATTTGAATAATTATCAAAATCAAATACATGATAGTGGCAGTTATTAATATTAAAAAGAGATGATAAATAAATACTGGTTAATAAGGGATAAATTAATAAAGCAGATAAGTACTATTAAATGGAAATGAATACATAATATTCATATCCTAATTTTAACAAAGATTTTTATTTGTTTACAAGTATAGCATGGGACTTTTCTATCCAATGAGATGACAAAAAAGCAGGACCATGTTCATTACTTTATAAAAGAAAATTAAACATGTCAATTTTAAACCAAGTGACATGTGCTGTTTAGCCATTTCTAGCTTTTGTGTCAATTAACTTCAACTAACCAGCTAGCAGCAGGAAATGGCAAGATGACAATTGTCTTCTAATGATGCATTTAGCTATGTATATTATTTTTAATGTATTAAACAAAAATTTGCTTATTTTAGTTTTTAATTTGTTATGAAAGGTTTCATTATATTTTAGAATAAACATGATGAAATGACACTTGAACATGACAAATTTAAACAAGAAAGAGCTGAGATTGAGGAGAAAATTGTTACAGAAAGGAAATCTTATTCTGAATTGGATATTCAGTTAGATACATGTGCTGGCAAAGTTCGAAGTTGTAAGGTACGTCGTAAGACAGGTTCTCAAATTCTTCTAAAGTTGCGGCAGCCTTACAAGGTTAAAATCATTCCATAGCATACTTGACATATTATTTGTTATAGGGCAAACCTGTCATACATACAATTTTTTTGACACACTCTTTTATTTGACACACACTTCACCCCACTCTTGTTATATAATTTTTGTCTTGCTGCTACCCCGTCATATAATTTTTGCTTCATGGTACCCCTGTGGTGTAATTTTTATCTTACTGTTCCCTGTCATATAATTTTTATTAATTACAACCAATATATGTTTTATGTATATAAACAATTACTTACTCTGGAAACAGGGAAAACCAATGATTCATTTGAAAGTGCTACTATAAAACTTTGAATTCTCAAAGTAACCTCAACTCTGG